TACATTTTTTCAGTGTCTCGTCACTCAACACAACAAGGAAAAACTGATCATCATTACAGTTTAATTTCACTGTTAGTATACATAAACCATATAATTAGTGAATCGAGATTCTCTATGTTTGAGTGAATACAAATTGACTCCACTAAGTAGCTATTCACTTTAGTGAATAGAGATACATCCAATGAATCGCGATTCACTCTAGTGAATCTCGATTCAATGCAGTGAATCTCGATTCACTTGAGTGAATCGAGATTCACTGTATTGAAACGAGATTCACTAGAGTGAATCGCGATTCATTGGATGTATCTCTATTCACTAAAGTGAATAGCTACTTAGTGGAGTCAATTTGTATTCACTCAAACATAGAGAATCTCGATTCACTAATTATATGGTTTAATTTCACTGTTAATATACATAAACCATATATGGTTAATTAGTGAATCGAGATTCAGTGCATTTAATCTCGATTCACTAGAGTGAATGCGCGATTCATTGGATGTATCTCTATTCACTAAAGTGAATAGCTACTTAGTGGAGTCAATTTGTATTCACTCAAACATAGAGAATCTCGATTCACTCAAGTGAATCTCAATTCAATGCAGTGAATCTCTATTCACTCAAGTGAATCGAGATTCACTGCAGTGAATCTCGTTTCACTCAAGTGAATCGAGGAGATTAAAGTAGAGTGCATATGCAGAATCCAAACAACCATAATTAATCGTTACCCATTTAGAACAAATGAAAACATTTTGCAATATTAAGAAAAACTTAGTTTGTTTTTAACCAGATAAAGGCAAATGTAAAAAAATAAAACCCTAAACTAGAACATGCATCGGTAACATATATGGGAAAGCTAAAAAAATAAAATAAAAAAAGTATTCAACAACATGCAAGTGATTCATGTCTAAATTACGAACCTTTCCCCACTGAATCGCTGAAAATTTTTCAAAGTTTGATAAAAAAATTACATTTTTAATACGAGGGTTTGAACTTTTTACCCGTTCTTGAAGACGAGGGTTTTGGAGTCTCTGTGTTGTTTTTCTTCATCTCCATAGTCGAAGTGTTGCTGGTCGCCTTCGTTCGTTTTGTAATTAGATGATGAAAGTACACTAAGTTTGAGAATCGACGGAATGTGATAGTTTAGTTCTTGGGTAAAGAGGAGTGAAACTGTATTCAAAATGTAGTTAAACTGAAACGTTTTTTCTCGATATTAGTGTACGCCAACTTCTTGTAATTAATTACAGCCGTGAAGAAATTGAAATTGCTTTTCCTAAATTACCCCTTTTATTGGTATTTTGTCAGCTGATGTTCAATTAATTTCAATTCTGCCATTTTCAATCTTGACCATTGGATGAAATAGAATGTAGGGCTAGGATTGGTTTTTAGTTCTCTAGGTTTTTATTAGAACCTCTCCATATATATATAATATATATATATATAATAAATAAATATATATATATATATATATATATATGAGAAAAATGAGTATGCTTGGTACCAAACACAAGTTTTTGTGCTTTGTAGTGATGTGACATATTCCTCTCCACTCATTGAAATCAGGGTCCACATTCACATAGGTTGGGGAGTGGTTGAGAATTGGAATGAGTTGATGAAAATATAACACTTCACTACTAAGCATAAAAATTATGTTTGGTACCAAGCATACCCATTTTTTCCTATCTTTCTCTCCATATATATATATATTGCCACACACACATGGGAGGTGAGCTTGCAGTATTGAAATTTACTGCACTATCATCACGTGTCATTCTCCAATTAGTGGACAAATAAAATGTTTACAAGGAAAGAATCTAGAACTGATTGGATTGACAATCAATGTCAAAAATACAGAGGGTTCTATATGTAAAAGACCCATTAGATTCCTCTCCCACTTGCGCTGCGATTCTGGCGGCCACCATCTCTCTTCCCCGCCCCTATTCACGAAACCCATAAAAAAACTTATCATTCTACGAATTTAGACTTGAGGCTCAAGTATTTTTTAACTTGATTCAGATCCCTACAATTTAAACATATTCGCAAAAATGTTGTAGCTCAATTTCGAATTGGAGGCGTTTATTATCCAATCCGATTCTTGCTACATGTGATCATGAACTGCATATAGGTACAAATTGGGGACAAGAAACTGATCTTGTTCCGTGTATTTGAGCCAATCTTTTGAGCTAACTACTTCTTTTGCAGTTCTGATTTGCCATTGATTCCTTGGTGTTTCATCAATGCTCTCGAACTTTCCTCGATTCGTGTGCACACATTATTCTTTCTGTGCATGCTAAATACCGATCTCGTAGAATAATATTTTTATATTGAGCAACAGTTGCAGTTTGTATAATATAATTTGAGGTAGAAAATTTTATTCTACTTTTTAAATGATATTTTCAATTGCTATCCAAACAAGAAAAATGAAAGAAACGAAAAGAAATATCTTTTCCGCTACTTTTAGTAACATGTGAAATAAATGAAAAAATGATACTTTTACTACTTCCTACTTTAAAATTTTGAAGGATATTTCTTTGCTCTACTTAGAGCAAGGGCAGCAAGCTTTGAAGGAGGCTCTCAAGGCTGACGTGGCCGTGGAAGTTGGCAGCCCCCCCTCCAGCAAGCTCCTAACCCCTCCCAAGCCCCTCTCCTAAGGCTGACGTGGCCTTGGGGAGCTTCCGAGCTCCCAAGCGCTCCACAAATTTGTGGAGCGCTTGGGAGCTCCTAACTGGTAAAGATTTTAACAAAAACTCCCCCACAAGTTCACAGTTGCATAGCTGAAAAAAATAGTGAAATCTGCCCAAAATTGAAGCCAAAAATCAAACCTTTTGTGTGCGGTGCGAACTTCACCTTCGCAGTTGGACGAACTCCGATCGGCG